GTCCAGGGTGAGTACAGGATGAGAATCCTGCCAGTCTTTTAGGAGTACTTTGCACTTGGAGGGTGCAAAGCACATGCCGTACCTGCGGACACTGATTGCCAACTGATTAAGTGCGAAAATCCTGATTACAAACCAATGATGCACGTTAGCTTCTGAACAAGCGGCGTGTGAACCAATCGTTGTTCACCAATTACTATGAGACTGCATCTCCTAACGTTGCTTCACTGACTTATGGATTAGACCTGTAGGTCAAAGGCTCAGGTAGTGGCTTCCTAGGAAAACTGTTGCCTCGGTTTTGGCGCCAAGGGAGTATCCCAACCCTCACACAAATTGAATCACCCGTATGGCGCATATATAATTGGTGCCTCCTTGTTCCAATGTTTATGCGTCTAAATAAATAACTTACTCCTGTTAATCCTCTTGGAGCATAGGCTACCGACCAAGATTGTTCAACCAACTCTGTTCTGGGCTCTTTTCCAGTCATTACAACGAGTTATAATTCCAAAAATAAAGTAAATGTAATTGTAAGATGATTAAGACAGATTTTGACTAGTATCCATCCTAAAATTTATTTGACTAAAAGTGCAAGTATATATTCATAGCTATTAAGGGGATAGTAGTAGCACGTTCTCTTTAGTGTGGAACGATGTCTTTGTATCGTATACCAAATAAAAATAAACATCACAATGTGCTATTGGTGATAAATGCTGAGGAGATCCATGCATTTCTCGAAAAAGTGCAGACGGGCACTGAAACAGCTGTGAAACATTTTATTCGATCATTGTTAAATAGAAGTTTCCCAAAAACATGTGAAAAATGAAGAGTCACATGTAAGATTTCTGACAATATGATTACAGATCCTGTAACTATATCCAGTATGGTCTCAGAACGTTCCAGAAGCTCAAGACCATCTGAAATGTTATAAATACCCCCGATTTTCTATGCATAAACTAGCCTTGTAGTAAAGCATTCTTTTCATACTTTGCATCTTATCTCTTTTGTTCAAGTTGTTTAGATTTAGCCTGGAGTTATCAGAAGAGCTTAGGAAACCAATTTAAGCGTTCAACTAAAAGACCTATCAATAAACAATACATTTGCCATCAATAATAGGTTGCAGTACTTGGCTAAACACATACTATTCATCATCGCATTTCACCTTAGTTTAAAGAAACCACCATCAAATTAATCTTCTTTTCAAGATTATCAATCGGATAAATAATCTTTAATTCATGTTAATGTTGATGTAAATTGATCCAATCTATTTGACTGTTTTATAGTTCTCATTTAAATACAGATCATTCCCGCAGGCGAACGGATTTTCTCAATATAATCAATCGAGATTATGGTGCTGAGTTGGAACATTTACTCAATGAATTAAATGTTAATTTGCCGGATCTCACTATAACGTTAATCGAACCGTCATCTATTGTATCCGTAGCCCATTTAAGGGTAAGTATAAGGTCATTTTTTGTTAAATGTACTTTAAGAAGTGGCATTTTCATCAGCAGTCTTACGGAGTAATATTTATTAGTTCTTTATACAAACATACAAATACAGTTACTTGGTACTTAATACCTTTCACGGTTTCGACATGCTTACATTAAGTGTATCTTCGAAAGTTTATTTTCAAATTACATACAGATCATCGGAATTGTGGAGCGCATTTCGGTGATTGCACTTTTGTATTTCAGAAAAATGCAACTCCACTTGTAACGGATTAGTATACCAAGTTGTGAGTCACTTATTTTATGAGTGTTAATATTATCTAATTATCCGAACCTCTGTAGACAAGTTGAAGTTTTATGTAATTAACTCATTTACCAGGAACTTGGTTATGAGCTACACTAAGTGTGGAGACTAACGAGAAACCTCCATTTCGGAATAGACAAAGTAATAATGTCATTCCTGCGAATTCTATATTGTGCAATATTTTCCGACGTTGGGACTGCTTGGAGAGACCGGAGAATTAGTCAGTTTATAACATGGTGCCGAGTTATGGGAGAGGACTGGCATCTGTCGGTCTGAGAGATAGTCTAACACAGTGGTTTGAAACTATCAAACATGACTCCGAACAGAAGCTGACGGCAGTCCTGCTTTAACTTTATAAAAGTGAGAGAATTCTTTGTGGTTGTATTTTTCCTAACTGAACTGCTTCCTTCATTTATGGATGTGTATTAGGTATACTTTTGCTACAAATATATACAACTTTTGTTCATTTATTTGTGCTTAAATAATTATCTTCTGATTACATTCACCCCCTCATTATCTATCTCTTTATAATATCATGCACTTGTTTGTGTGGCACGTACTTATTTTGGTGCCCGTTTGGACTCGTAAGCTACACTAGTATTTGACTACAGATGTCTAAGAAATATTACCAGCATACCTATCGGTAATCTACCTGCCTAAACCTAGCAACTTTCACTCATACGTATAGATTTCGAAAAGATATGCATGCCAATGTACAAAGTACAACATCAACCTCTTGGTTATGCAAAAGAACTTATGTCATGCTGTGTGGTATCGTTAATCATGGTTTAGTGGCTGCAGCTCACAACTACAAAATTAAACTAGGCAATAAGATAAATTACTTATTATTTGTCTTGGAAGTCCAAGTGAACGTCGTATTCAAGTGTTGAATGTGAAGTCATTGAGTGGTGACCTAGACTCGTAGTTTCACATAAAAGTATAAGTCACATTAGTGAGCGCTGCTGAGTTGAGATAATGAACACTGATTCGTTAACTGTTTCGGATACATCCTGCTAATACTTGCCGACAATTATTATCTAAACTTCTTGTTATCATCTATGTTTTTTTATAAATTTATCGCCACACTCTAGGAGGTAAACAAACTTATGAATTAAATAGATTAGGATTACTTTATTTTAAAAATTGCTTCAATTTTATTATGAAAACTATCCTAAAACTAAACCATTAAAAATTTAACCCAACCTGTTTTATATTATTCTGCTAATCTCTTTATTATCTTTCTAAAGGTTGGTGAGATAATGCAATGTTTTGTGACTTTTCGTCAGCTGAATCCAGAAAGAATTATTGTCCGTGGAGTATCAGAACCAATGATTATAAAAACCTACTCCGATTTCCCTAACAATTTAAATACTGAGGAAAAATCCTTATCCTTAGCAACAGAGGAACTATTATCTGATTCAGGTCTTGATTCATTGCCGAAAATTCGTGATACTGTTGTCTCCTTACTAAGTCCTGACTCAAAAAGTCGGTCACTTTCAGACCATAGACAACAGCGAGGCTCAAAACTCATCCGCTTTTGTAGTATACATCAATCAAAACTCGATCTTTTTACACCAAGTCGTCATCCATTGTTTCGGCGTATCACTTCCTTAGCCCAATGTGCCCTCCTTCATTTTTCTAATGAATACAAACCTCCTTCTGCTATTCGTGGGTTTTGTGCTTGGCTTCACAGTTATCGCGACTTGTTCAATGCCCCATGCTGTCGTTGCGGTCAGCTTTTAGGTCAAAATGTTGAACTCCCGCTTTGGCGTAGTTATCCTCAAATGAGAAAAGATAATTCTCGATCAATGGAACCCCAACATGAACACTGTCAAGCCATTATATAAACAATCATGTACTTCTTTATTTTCTGATTTTTTGAGTACTTCCTATCATTTGTATAGACAACCTGACTCTACAACTTAATATGTAACTTGAGCGAAAATATAATTCCCATACACTACGCCACCTTTGTAGTACATATAAGCTATGTACCGATAATTTTGTTGATGTGAGTTCTATAAAACGAGAGCATTTCAGCCCACACATCCGAATATACTATTTTATTGGATTATTGTCTAAATGAATTAAAACAAGCTACACATTAATAACTAATTAACAGAGATTGGTGTCGACTACTTAAAGTCAGCGTTTACTTATCAGATATATGAAATGTAATCTCAAAAATTTAGGTTATACAGGTGTAATGACTAAAATTCCGTAAAATTCGAATAAGTCACTCGGTTAATTGTAAGAAAAATCGGTTGCAGGCGTTGGATGTGACTAACTTCACAAGAAAACATAACGTGCATAATTGGAAACCGCGGCTTAGATTATAGGATTATTAGTTCATAATAAATCTAGAATATACGCTCGGCTTTGAGGCGAATCACACTGAATTCTAGTCTTATCAATTATCAAACGTACCTACATATAACACTGGCTGCTCACACCGAACGCATTGCTAACTACAACTGAATGTATGTGAAATTTCTCCTCTCACGACTTACGTATATATACAATATGTTATCTTAACACTTATCATTCCACATCACAAGTCTCTTACACACTAATACATATACATAGTTTAGACAGTTTTAACGCTGATTGGATGACCTAGTCAGCGTACAATGAACCGAAGAACCTTGTACCTATTTATATTCGATAAGTTTGATATTTCCTTGAAAATGCTTGAACCAGATTGCCAGGCGAAACGTTGGACTCACTTCAAATTCGTTCGCTGAGATTTTACAAGTATATTATTGCTATTTAGTGTCTTACATCAACTCGGCGCCCATATACTGTGAAACTCTTCACTCTAATTTAGACAAAAGTTCTTATATACTACGGCTGAATCGTTTAAAAGTTTTAGCGATAGATGAGTCGTTTGCTGAATCCGAAAATTGTTTTTCATGCAATTACTTATTGAGCTATTATAACCTGATCACTTCATACAAAAAAGTGATTTGTTTTACACTACGCTACCATAATGTCTCGTGGAATACTAGTAAAGGACTGTCATTATTTAAGGTCATACATGTGTCTGATGCTACTCAGTTAGTTGGGGCATTAAGACTCCCGTTTATTAGTGTCCTTTGGTCTGTATCTTCGTATCAGATCCTATTTTGTACTAGAGGTATGCCCCATTTCTACTATTTTCAAACCCTAGGCTGTTCGCAAGATTATCGAGTTGAGATCCTCCAAATTTATAGTTTGGTCTCCATTTCTGATAACATGATTGCTAAGCCTTACACAAACGAAATCAATATATTAATTGACAGGAAGTATCCTTAGTGTGATAGTCTGTTGTAGAAAGATACAGTACCAAAAGAACCTACTAATTTTAAAGATCGTAAATTATTTGTTAAGTACGGTTTTAGACACATCTTTGGACCGCATTGTGTATATGAGGGCAAATAGTGCAATCCCACTGACCAAAAAATTAGGAAAAGTGGATATGGAGTCGGTGACCCGTTGGTTGAAAATCAGATGCTTTCATTAATAAGCCAACTTTCTAAATTTATAACAATCAAAAATACTGCTAAATATTGGGAAAGCTACACTTCTACTGTATACAATATATTGATTTACAATCTCATCATTTTGCTTTGTTTGGCAGTTTCTGTTTCTAGTTTTTTCTGTTTGAGATATGCTTCACGATCTTGGAGGAAATTCGCATATCCACTAGGTGTATAGTCAACTTTTCCAGATTTGATATCATCTTGTGTTACAATCTCAATACCCAAACGATGTGCTGTACCAATCAACATCTTACAAATATTTTGTAGATCCGCTCCAAGTAAATGTGGATCTTGTTTTTTGAGCTCAGCAATGTGATAAATATGTTTAAGAGAAAGACGTCCACATACTTCAGTACCTAAAATGTTAAAAAGTGCATAGGTATATAAGACTACTTTCAGTTTTAATACATAAACTTGGATGGCTGAAAGGATTTCAGAATAAGTTCCTTAAATTTACAACATTTAAAATTACACAAAATTCCCTGCATTTCGGTGGCGAATCCAATAACATTATGCTCATCTTACTGAAAAGACCATGAAGTAATTAAGCATTTTCGAGTCCTGATACCTGAGTAACTTAAATACTTCCATGAACTTTAGTGCAATACGTGTAAATATATATTACCGTCCACTTTTATGCTTTCAGTGATGCAGCCAATGTAAATGACTACAGTCTGTTTTCATGATCACATATATTCAAAATCAAGTAGATAAAGTAGGGCATGGTGTCTAATACGAATTGGAGCGAAAGCATGAGTGCGAACGAGCCACTGCGATAAACTGATTGGGCAATGTCACCTAACAAATAACTATTGATCATGATTACCTTAACCTAGTGATGTGTTTTCTCTGCAACAATCAACCCCTTTACCTACTAATCGTTTGTCAAGGTTCGGTCATTCATTCGTAACAATTCCCAACTGGAGCCTACATAGTGCACTAGAATACTGTGTTTTTGTATGCATGGCAACCTCGGTCAATAGGTGCTTATAGCTTAATTGATCGGCTAACCATTTAAAAAACCCTAATCTTAGCCTTATCATTACTCGGTCAGTGGTCCCAGCATATTTCGAAGACCCTAATGGTCGAGTGTTTGCAACTCAGTCAAGCTTTCGTGGACTGTGGAATAATAAAATGTGACATACTGCCCACCACACTCCCCTACGCTATAAGTAGGTAAGGAACAAACAAGCTTTTTGTCGCGCTACACAAAGTTACGAATACATCACTAAGATAGCTTGACATTAAATCCAAATGCCCAAAGTAGAGTGAGTGAAATGGAGACTAACCTGGAGAGGAAGCACCTCTCTTAGCTGCTGCAGCCATTCTTAGCAAATGCATAGATGATGGATGACTGATGACTAAGTCGTATGATCGGTCGGCCTAAACAAATAGTGTTTAAACATTGATTACCTTGACAGATATAAAACACGGCATTGGAGTTCCTTCTATAATATCTTTCGTTCTTTCATTGAAATCTTTGCAGAAAGTAGCGATGTTTACGTTTCGCTAACAAAGATTTGATTTTAAGCAGATCTAACTTACTTTACCTAGCTGTGGTCCCAAAGGTGGGGCTGGTCGGGCTTGTTGTGCTGGTATAGTTATTTTTAGAAATGGTGGGTGAACTATAGAATCAGCCACTGCCTTTGTTTTGCGAGTCACTTTTGCAGCTACCCGAGAAGCCATTTCCTAAAAAAAATCAAAACTTTGAAGTCGTTGCTAAAACGTTCTTTATAAAACTGATTTACATGAATACCTATGGCACATCTAAAATAACTACATCAACTGAAGACGATTTTTCTTAGACGATAATGGGCTGTTTAGACTACAATAGATAGAATGTGGGCCTGTCGTTCAAAGTCAAACTACTAACTTAGTGAATAACGAAACTACACTTAACTACTACTACAATTTCTACTATTACTATTATCATTATTATTATTACTTACATCTACAACATTCATGATTCATTTAAACCACTATATGACGAAACTACATTGTTACGATAAGATAATGAATCAACAGTTTGACTGTGGACATATAGCGACTGCTCTCACCAACATACAATTGCTGAAAGATGCAAATTAGAGGGCAAAGACATGAATTTTATCTTTCAAATTATTCAGTGATAAGTACAACTTCCCTGCAAAATCTGAATTACAGTTAAGATCTGGTCACCATTCTACTATCTCCTTGATCTAGAGCTGATTCCGGCTGAACGCTGGACTAAAGTGTACAGGAAGATGTCAGAAGTTATTTTAGTTAGACTTTTTTCCTGTGGCTGCCATCTGTTTTTTATACAAACCTAAATAATCAAGGTTGAAGGACAGTGAGAAAACTTCATAATGCTAGTTTAGCTAGTAAATTCTTAAAGCCGAATTCGAAGTGGACTGGTAAGTCATCTTACCTTGACATGTGTTAGGTTAGTCACAGTTTTCTTGAATGTGATGCAAATGTTTTACATGTTCCAGTTAAATTGTGAGCAACTGAGGTGCACGTACACTATGCGAACAACTTCCTACTGCTCTTTTTTATTTTTATTTAAACACATAAACATTGCTACATAAAAGCGCCGAAATTTTTATGTAACGTATGACAGAAGTTGAATTGTAACGAGTCAGGAAACAGGTGAGTAAATTTAGAAAAGGAACAAAAGCGGATTGGAAATAGTATTTGAGAGCGGAAAAAGTAATGAATAAAGCAGTTCAGCTGGGAAAAATACAACCTCAAAAAATTCTCTCACTTTTATAAAGTTAAAGCAGGACCGCCATCAGCTTTTATTCGGAGCCATGTTTGATAATCTCAAGCTACTATGTTGAACTATCTGTAAGACCGACAGGTGCCAGTCCTCTCTCATAACTCGGCACCATGTTATAAATTAACCACTTGTCCATTGAGGAAGAAGAATGTATTTGTAAAATCTTAGCGAATGAATTCGAAGTAAATCCATTGTTTCACCTGACAATCTGGTTCAAGCTTCTCTTCGAAAAAATATAATAAAACATCGAATATAAACAGGTACATGGTTCTTCGGTTAACTGTGTACTAAATAGGTCATCTAATCAAGTTAAAAATGTTTGAAGTAGGTATTCGCTTCGGTATGTATGAGACATGTGGTGTGAAACGAAAATTTATAAAGAAATTGAAATGAATTTAGTTATATTCACTTCAGTGATGAACATTTATCCTAGGGGTTTTATAAAAAGAATAATTAAGAAGGAAGGCCAGAAAGATAAGAAAAGATATAAATGAAAATAGTGGGTTAATACGGTCAGTCAGCTACACGTAGAACCAGGCACATATATGCATCTGTCCAAGTTGCCTCATCTCATTAGCGCAACAAGATAAACACCAAATTTATAGTAGTTATTTCAATGGTAGTAAAAAAAGATTTCATATATGGATATGATACAGGGAGCAAGAATTAGTTGGTAGGAAGAAAGGTATAAAGTAATCTTAATCTCACAGTTTAAGGTAAGACAAAGTGTGTATACACCTACGCCATTGTGATCGATTCTGAGCCGTCATCCAAAGTCTCCAATCATTAGTTACGATGGTCGCGCGGACCGCAGTCAAGTAGTCTGCACCTATCAACATGGCTCAGATCAGAAAGTAGTGACTTCAAGGACTGATGCCAGGTTATTAAGTTGGTGATTCAATATCGTAAAGGAATTTTAGAAGAGATCAGAAGGATCCTAAATTTTCAAAATATGAGAGTATTATTTGAACAAACAATACTCTAAGATAAAAAAGATGGTAAGAATCAAAGACTCAATACACAAGAAGGGACAACAAAATTTTGTTCATAAAACCAAAAGTAATGATCGTGACGCTGTATATGTAGGTGAAACACCAAGACAACTGAATGTGAGGGTGAAGGAACACAAACGTTGCTTAAAGCACATTCATAAATCCTCAGATGATATATAAAAGGTCAAAAACAAATCAGCGTTAGCATTACACCCAATATAGTTGGGTCATACAACTGATTACAATAACACAAGAATCCTTCAAATAGGTTTTAATTCTTGCAAAGAAAGATCAACAGCTGAAGCCCAACACATACGGGCAAATCTAAATAGTATTAATGGGAGAGATGGATTACAGTTAGGTCTCCCAGGGAAACTAATAATTAATAAGTAAACCTGAAATTCTTATTCTATTTTATCTAACTCTTATTATCTGAATAACATCAGTTGCATTCAACGATTCTAATCAATTGTTTTATCTGAATATGTTAAACAATTGAATGGGACAATAAAAATAACACGAACATTCATTCCTTCACATTCGTTTTGTTTATTTGCCTCCATTTTATGCATGCTGTGACATATTTCATTCACATAACATAAAAATTGTGTTTTCTTAAAAATTCACTGATCAAAAGCGACAAATAGTGAATGAAATTTCATCTCACACCTCAGATCCACTTACAAATATAAACAATCTGTTATCTTACCGCACTTCTTTTCACACCACATGTTTCATACATACCGAAGCGAATACCTACTTCAAACATTTTCAACTTGATTAGATGACCTATTTAGTACACAGTTAACCGAAGAACCATGTACCTGTTTATATTCGATGTTTTATTATATTTTTTCGAAGAGAAGCTTGAACCAGATTGTCAGGTGAAACAATGGATTTACTTCGAATTCATTCGCTAAGATTTTACGAATACGCTCTTCCTCCTTAATGTCTTACATTAGCTTGGCCCCTAAATTCTGTGGAACTATTCTTTCAAATTTATACGTTTTTATATAACTACTTCTCCGCTTTTTTTAACCGATTCCAGCGTCGGAAAATAATACACAAAGTGGAATTCTCTAGAGTGGTATCTGTTGTACATAGCCAAGCCTCCGAAGTCGATCTTTCAAGATGGTGACGAAATAAGTTGATCGTCGCTGTGCCTCAATACAAGTTGCGGAACCTCAGCATTACTAAGATGGTATCGCCACTGATCGTTGGCAGTACTTTCGAAACAGCGAAGAGCAAACAGTCGCCAACATCACTTTACAACAAACAATCCCAGAATACAATTCTCTTCAAAGAACTAAAGGCGCGCCTGATATCAATAGACCCAAAGATTGTTAACTTTCAATAAATGTAGCAGTGTCTTAAATTTGGCGGGCGGCGAAGATATGATCAATACATCCAGAATGAAAGCTAAACTGCTCGCAAGTCAATCCTTTAGGAGTTCTGAACAAACCATAAAATATGATGGAAGGCAGTAGTTTGAACGTAATCGGAAACAAACATACATCCCGATAGTTGTTGCATGGGCGGTGTGAACCATTTTTAAAGATATGGACAACTATCCTTCACTCTAGGATATTGGGAAACTTCAATGCCCAGGCGTTTGCAAACAACTCAGTCAGTTCTATGACCAGACGTCTGCCGGAGTACTGAGAAAGGGTTGGAGGTAAGTCATCTGAACCTGGTGATCTGTGGTGATATAGGAGTTGGAGTTCCTTGATGGATCAGTCAACATTGGCCAGGAAGAACAAAACGGTCTGGTTGATTTCGCGGAAGTAGCAGACCAAGTGCACTGAGAGAGCACTAGCTAGCACATCGACGGTGATTGTTTTGATAGTTAGTGGTAGCCATGAACATTATTTATTTATTTTATTTATTTAAACACATAAATATTGGTACAAGGAAGCACCAGATAAATATGCGCCTCACAAATCTCATTCGATTTGTGTGAGGGCTGTGATACTGCCCAGGTGCCCAGACTAAAGCAGGTGGTTTTCTTAGGGGGGCACACCCGGAGCCTTTGACCTGAATGTCTGATCCACAAGGCAGTGGAGCATCGTGAGGAGATGCAGTCCCATGGTAGCCGGTGATCAACGGTTGATTCGTACGCAATTTGTTCCCTCAGGATACTGGAGCCCATGTGCAGGGGAGAGTTCCTGATATATGGCCTGCACCCAACGAATCTTCTCTAAGCTTTGACGCCCGACCTTTATTGTAATATTATTTATTTACAAACCGATAGTTGTTTTATTTCACTGAATTATGAGCTTATCTCACATAGTAATATCACAAGAAATAAGCATTTAATACATTTTAAGCTGACATGTGATTAGTTGCGGATAATTGCTAACACACCACATAAACGCGAATCTGAGGGCATTATGTTAAATTCCTAACGAATTAGTTATGGAAAAGCAGTGATTAGTAAGGAATACTAAGGAACTTAATGATCATCCGACAGAATATCAACTTCAACGATGTTCTTGCCACTTATTCTTTCCCACTTTCAACTAAGATTCTAGTCTCCCAATTTCAGGGAATTCTGGTTTTTTCCCAAAGTCATATGCAAGTCCGTATAGAAATCTGAAAAAGACCTAGTTCTCATTTTCTCAATAATCGACTTCACTAGTCAATATCGACGACAAACCTAGTAAAACATTTGGTTAAGGGACTTTGCCTTACTTTATATCAATTTAATAACTCTACATTGATATCAAGCCATCATTGAACCAATACACTTACTTGACCTCATACACACAATACGTAACGCACAGTTACAAAACTACGCCGGTTTCAATCTAATATTCAACACGTTTGTGTAGAGAAAGTATTAATGTGGTAAGAATCAATTGACACATTAGAGCTCATGTTTCATTACTTTGAAGCTACAATTTGCAGTAGCGTGGCTGTATCGGTTGTTACGATTCAGCTAAATACAAAAAGCAATGATGATGCAACGGATGTTCTAATTTTACAACTAGTTACCAGTAGCACCTTCTATATTTGATCGTTCCCAGTCAGATAGAAATCAGAAGTCAGACGAGAAGAGGCAAGAAAGATATATTTGATTCGTTACCAATATATCGAGGACCTTTTCTATAAGCTGGCTAATGAATATAGGAGCTGTGTCCCACGCCGTGTTGAAACGTGACCTGGTGCGGATGCATGACCGTAAGCCTTCAGCTAAACAAGTCCCTTTAAACAACGTGGTCAGCATCCAATGTCGAACACTTAATGAACTATTGATTTTGGGAAATTATTTACAGCTACAGATCACTCCCCCCCCCCTAGTGAGGTAGTGATGCCCCTAAGACGTGACCAGCCAGAAGTTTAAACCCAACGAGTTTGTCGTTGGTAAACACTCTTCTGATAGCTTGCTTCGTTTAGCAGCATCTGGTCGTCTTTCCTTAAACTATGGGACCAAAATGTACAACATAGCAATAAAGAAATATAGTACAATGAAAATTTCTGTTCCTTGCGAAACTTCGTCGTTCTTTTCCAGCCGTCCTGGAAAAGAGGAAAAATAAAACGTGTGAGTGCATGTCGAAAATACACTCGTACTTGCGTAGGGACACGAGATGAGCGGAAAAAAATAAACTAATACACTTACCAACAGCGTAAAAGCGATCAGGAAAAAAGTGTTTTTTTTGTTTGTTTTTCATATATAAAAAATATATATATATACGCTCAAAAAAAGATAAAAATGTTTTGTTTTTTTTGGTTTTTTTATATAAAAAAAATTATCATATTAAAAATTTTTTTATAATGAACTATGGAAGGGTAATTCAAGATAAAGCTTATGTCCTACGTGCAATATTCGTTAAGATGTTCTGGAAATCTTACTCGTCTTCCAGAACGCGTTGTTTTAGGTTTTTCTATCGACGTTGACGAAGTATCAAGTTGTGTGTCGGTTGTCGTGTAGGGTACTACGAGTGTAGTAGCTGTGTCGTTTGCTTGCACCGAAGGAAAATCGACGTAGCTAGGGTTTCCTTCTAAGTACGCTGCTTTGAGTCGATCGATACTGATGCTATCTTTCGTACCGTTCTTATCAACTACATAGTACTTAGGTTCGCGTTGAAGAACTTTGAAGGGTCCTTCGTATGCTGATTCGAGGGGTCGTCGATGTGAGTCTGGACGAACGAAGACGTGTGTACTATGTCGTAATTCGGGTTGAACGAAAACATCAGTTGATTGAGGTCGAGTGTGAGCAGGTTTAACTGAACGCATAGCGTTTGTAAGCCTACTCGTGTAAGAGTTTAGACCCATGTTCAATGAAGAAGCTGAAGGATCCACGAATTCTCCTGGGAGTCGGAGTGTCGTTCCGTAAACGAGTTGAGATGCCGTGTATCCAATGTCAGCTTTCACTGCATTGCGGATACCTAGCAAGACGAGTGGAAGATCGTCTGTCCACTGTGAAACGTTTGAAGCTGATAATGAAGCTTTTAGTTGTCGGTGAAAACGTTCTACCAACCCGTTTGCTTGTGGGTGGTAGGCGGTCGTTCGGAAACGCGTGATTCCTAATAGTGAGGTCAGACAACGGAAAAGTCCAGATTCGAACTGGCGTCCGCGGTCTGTAGTGATGGTTGAAGGGCAGCCTAAATTTGCTACCCATCGTTCGACGAAAGCGCGGGCCACGGTTTCAGCAGTAATGTCCTTAATCGGTACTGCTTCTGGCCATCGAGTGAAACGGTCTACGCATGTTAGGAGATATGAGTATCCGTTCGAGTCGGGTAAGGGTCCTACCAAATCTAGATGGACGTGGTCGAAACGAGCGTCAGGGGTTTTGAAAGAACCTAAGGGACATTTGTTGTGTCTGATTACCTTAGATTTCTGACAGCTTACACAGGAGCGTGCCCACTCCCTCACGTCTTTATTCATACCAGGCCAACAAAAGCGTTCGGCTATAAGTTCGATTGTTGCACGAGCACCTGGATGAGAAAGATTGTGCAACGTATTGAAGACGTTGCGTGGATAATGTTTTGGTACAATTGGACGATCCCTACCTGTAGATGTGTCACAGAGTAAGGTTTCCTTACCTGTTCCCATCTGCTTAATACTTAGTTTTAGAGTTGTCGAGGATAACTCATGCTAAAGATCAATGTCTTCTTTTTGAAGCTGAGCGAGTTTAAGAAGGTCGATTCCTTGGAAACTGTTCAAGGAATTTATTCGAGACAAGGCGTCTGCGACTACATTGTTAGCTCCAGAAATATGTTGTATGTCTGAAGTAAACTGCGAAATGTAATCGAGTTGTCGAGACTCTCGCGGTGAGCACTTGTCTGAAGATGAAGTTAAAGAGAAGGTAAGAGGTTTGTGATCGGTAAAAAGTGTGAATTCTCTTCCTTCGATGGAATGTTGGAAATGCCGTACAGCACAATACATAGCTAGGAGTTCCCTACCGAACGTGCTGTACCTAGATTCAGCGTCTAGCAACCGTCTCGAGAAAAATCCTAAAGGTTGGCACGAGTTGTTAACCCATTGTTGTAAGACTGCTCCGATTGCTGAGTTGGATGCTTCTACGGCGATACTAATGGGCGCTTGAGTGTCCTGATGAGCAAGCAAGGTTGCTTTAGCGATGTGTTCCTTAACTGTGGAAAATGCTTTACGGGCTATGTCGTCTAAACTAATTGATTTTCCATTTCCACGAAGCTGATCGGTTAACGGTTTCATTAGGGATGCGCATTTGGGTATGAACCGTCTATAGAAACTTACAAGTCCGTTGAATGTTCGTAACTGCTTGATCGTGGTCGGTTCTGGGTAATCCAGAATGGCCGCCACTTTGCTCCTAAGGGGTCGGATGCCTTGGGCATCAATGTTGTGTCCTAGGAAGTCTAAGGAGTTTGTTCCGATTTGGCATTTCTGTATGTTGACAGTAATGCCATGCCTTTGGAGTCGATCGAAAACAATGTCCAGATGCTTGAGATGTGATTCTCTGTCCGGACTTGCTATTAGACAGTCATCAACATACGCATGTACGAAGTTGAGACCTCGAAAGACGTCGTCTATAAACCTTTGGAAGGTTTGAGCCGCGTTTCTTAAACCAAAAGGCATTCGTAGAAATTCGTAAAGACCGAAAGGAGTGATGATGGCGGTTTTAGGAATGTCGCCAGGTGCCACCGGTATTTGGTTATAAGCTTTAACCAAGTCGATTTTCGAAAAGACAGTTGTACCTTTCAAGGTAGCTGTCAAATCGTGAATATGAGGCAGCGGGTAACGATCGGGAATGGTTTTAGCATTCAGACGCCGATAATCACCAGTTGGCCGCCAATCATTGCTGTCCTTTTTAGGGACCATGTGCAATGGGGATGCCCATGGACTATTCGATGGTCGAATTATCCCTAGGTCCATCATGTGGTCGAATTCGTTTTTAGCTAACTTAAGCTTCTCGGGAGCCAGTCTTCGAGCTTTCGAAAATACAGGTGGTCCTATAGTCGTGATGTGATGTGTAACATTGCTGGTTACACAGGGCAATTTCGATTGCGATTGGTATATCCCAGGGTATTTGTCGAGTACTGATTGGTACAAGGGGTCTATGGTGTGCTTAATCGTGACTGGGGATAACCTGCAACCAGAACAAGGAGTTACGCTAACTGATAACTTAGTGTTTCCGTCTATTAACTTTCGTGAGCGTGTGTCGATGAGTAGATTGTGGTGTTGTAACAGGTCTATACCAATGATTGGCATAGAGACATCTGCAACCACGAAAATCCAGTGTATGGGTTTGCGTAAACCCACGTTAAGGTAGACGTACCTTTTACCGTAAGTAGCGATCGGTTTTCCGTTTGCCGCCTGTAAACTTAAAACAGACTCGCGAAGTCTGTCGTCGGGATTTGCTGGAAGAACGCTAACTTCTGCGCCAGTGTCGACGAGGTAGCGAACTTTCGTGGTTACATCCGTGACATATAAGAGGCGGCTGTGTTCGCCGGCTACGGTTGCTGTTAACGCGTGCCGGCTGGGAAGTTACCCGAAATCTTATTCGTGTCAGTCGATTTTGGGGTCGGATAATTGCAAGGTTTCCTGCAGTTTCTGGAAAACTTACCGTACTGGTTATGATACCAGCACCAGTCGGGATTGTCTGTCTCTCGTGGTCGAGGGCCAGATCGCTTACGTGAAACGCTTCTACGCGGGGTTTTCGACCGACTACGGTCATTGCGAACTCCAAGATATCGTGTAAGCGTGTGACATAGTTCGGCCATGTCAGTCGAGGTCGATTGGGGTTTTTCTTTGACGGAAAAAACCTCGGCCTTAGAAGATCTAGTGATTTCCAAGATTTGATCGGCAGATGCAGCTAGTTCATCTATGGCATTGTTTTGAAATGAAACAAGCACTGCCTGCACCTGTTGAGGGAGTTTAGACAAGAAAAGTTGTCTAAATAGGCCATCATCGAAAGTTCGTTGGCCAATGACTTCTCTCATTCTAAGCAACATGTCCGTCGCAGAACCATGTTGCAAGTCGATGTTATGGAAGAGTTGATCCAACCGTTGTCGATCAGTTAGGTCTCCTCGTTTTAAAATCGATAGCTTAAGCGTTTCGTAAGGTTCGGAAACATCACTAGTAAACATACTAGGTGTTACGTACCTGTTAAACTCGCGCGGTAACGCCTTAACTACCGCAAGGAAACGTGTGCGCGAGTCCGTGATTCCGTGCATGCAAAAATCGGCTTCTGCATAGCAGAACCAGGACTCGATATTGTCGGGCCAAAATGGCGTTAACTGAATCGAAATAGGGGGAATAGACTTAAACTTAAGAACCTTAGGAGAGTGTTCCGTCATAGTAATATAGATAACGAAAAATGTCTAATTAAAATATATCCGAGAAAAAAAAATTCGCGAAAAAAGTACATCACAATATATAAAATTCAAATAAAGAATAACAATGAATAATAATATCCCAAAATGGAACAGACTCACATTATATTGACTTGGTGTATCAGATCACGTCGGGTTCACCAATGATGATGCAACGGATGTTCTAATTTTACAACTAGTTACCAGTAGCACCTTCTATGTTCGATCGTTCCCAGTCAGATAGAAATCAGAAGTCAGACGAGAAGAGGCAAGAAAGATATATTTGATTCGTTACCAATATATCGAGGACCTTTTCTATAAGCTGGCTAATGAAACGTAGGAGCTGTGTCCCACGCCGTGTTGAAACGTGATCTGGTGCGGATGCATGACCGTAAGCCTTCAGCTAAACAAGTCTATTTAAACAACGTGGTCAGCATCCAATGTCGAACACTTAATGAACTATTGATTTTGGGGAATTATTTACAGTTACATTAATTTGAGTTTTAGGGATATGAAATGAGAATGTAAAAGAACAAAAGAAAACTTTAATTGACGACAAAGCGACCATAAAATTTTCTTTCACCTTTTGTAATGAAGGTAGCATGTAGCAATAGCATAAGAGTTTGATTAAGACAATCCTACCATCGAAGCATGACGTTCCCTAAAATGGGTTGAAGACGCCACCGGTATAGTAGTTTGACGGCACTTTAACCAGTAACACATTGAAGAATTAAATCGTACCCAACCAGTGAAATCAAAATGTCAGAAGCGAGGAGGGTCGAAGATATATCTGATTGTACATCAATATATCGAGAAGTGACTGATCTGAACTGGCTAGCGATTACAGAATTTGAGTACGGCTTTCCCGCTCGTAATCTGGTGCGGATACATGACCGAGCGCATTCAGGTAAATTAGCCCATTAAAACTAAGGTGGTCAGCATCTAATGTCGAACACTTATAGGGATATTGATGTTGGGGACCTCTGCAGGGTTAAATCATTGCGTTACCAATGAAGACAATTTCTCTTATTGACCTTTTGTGTCTAGTAGCACTCTATTCGGGCTGGGATTTATATGAGATCCAGTGATGTTTGGGATGCTGTAGCCTATCAAATGTCCTTATCTAATTAGCTCAGGAAAATGACACCTGTATTCGGAGTTTGACAGCGCCTTAACCAGTAACACCTTTAAATCAAAGTATGTCAACTCAGTCAAATCAGAAGTCAGAGGTGAAGTGGTTTGAAGGTATATTTGGAATGCTATCGATATTCTGATAAGCTGGCTAACAGATGAAAGGGATGAGTAGCACGGTGTACTCACTCGTGGTCTGTTGTGGATGCGTAACCGAGCGCCTTCAGCTAGTTGAGTTCTGTAAAACTAATGCTGTCAGCATCGAAGTCTTACAAAGCTATTGTTTTTGAGGATTTATTTACCACTACAAATGAAACCTTCAAGTAACCTGTATGACATTCTATCCACTTATAGAATTCAGATAGACCTCTTACATTGTTTTCTCTTTACCAATTATTTTACTTGTCAAATCTTCAGACGCGCACAAATATCAGCCGCTTTTATCCCAAACAAACAACTCAATCATCGGACCGTCAAATGTCTGTAAGTAATGTATCAAGAATATTTTTAAAGAATATTTAAGCTTGGTTGTAGTATCTACCTATTCGAGACTATAAACACATTTGTGTTGCAAAATGAACCTCAAAAATCTCGCGTTCGGTTCCAAAGGGGATAAAACTTTTAAGTAGATAGTTGTTTAAGGTTTTATTTATAGTACTTTCTTGACCCTCAAGGTTGTAGAAAGGTAGTAAGTTAGTCTGGAACCGGGAGCATCCACACACACATGATCTTAGCTCAGAGAGCCACGGAAGCATCCACAATTTTATCAATTTCTGGGGTATGTAAATTTAATTCTCAAAGCATCGACCTAGAACAATATGGAAAAGTCACGTAAATTTAAGTTGAAACCATTCCGTGTGACCGTCTTTCAGCTTAATTTACCGTCACATTTCGCCCAGACTCCTTCCCTTCCATTAAAAGACTGATGGAGGGATAGAATTTTCAAAATAACCTCTTGTATTAAGATGCTGTAGTATCAATTTATATGTTAAGCCCATATACTTTATCCTAGCTACTGGCCAAGCCAATTCGTTTGTCATGAGTCATATTTTGATCTTGTTCATTATTCGCTTATTAACATTGACTATACTTTTATATGAACATATATGTGTACACTTCGTATCTTATTCATCATATGTCTGTCACTCATTTTTGTCCGACTATAAATGTTGATTAACGCTTGCTTAAATCGAGTTGGCTTCTCAGCCATCTTCATTGCGCATGATCTTTGCTTCTTTCCGCTCTCAACTATTCGCCTCATCACTCTGATTCCCTGGCCAGACCAATGAGAGTAGAAATTATATGTATTCTAAATCCATTCTCGTATTTGACGCATTTAACTACGTTGTTCACCAACGCGGAATAAAGTCATTTATTACATACGAGGATAGACAGTACGTATATTTTGACAACAAACAATCATTCATACGATCGAAAAGGAATCAGATTTACGCCACAACAGAATTGAATGCCTCGTCGAACGAGCACGACTCTACAATGCAAAGATATCAGTACTGTAAAAGAGTCTACTGACTACAGCAAACAATAATTCCTTCAACTTCATAGATGAGTCCGCATTATCCATACTTAATTTTAAGGTAGTTCGGTAGATAGCCCAACATAAATTTTCAGTCTTTTGTGGTGTTAATATGTCCAACTTTACAGATAATTTTTAAGGGCTCAGTGTTATTTAACGAATCATATACTTTGTGTCATAGTTTAATTAGAAATGCTGCATATTCCTGATTCAATTTTCGCCCGAGAGTTCGAATCCGGAGACGAATATGAAGGTTTATGGAGCGTTTCACTCCACAAAATTAATGAAACTGGGAAGGGAGCAACCAGACTACCCACAGTGTACTGCTCAAAACAGGAAGGAAGGTAAAAAAATTTCATTAATAGACAACCGAAACATAAATGTTTATTAGTTGACAGTCTGGCTGAATTCGCATTGGTGTCTGAAATAACACCACTAAAAAATTTGAAAAGTATTTGAAATGTCCCACAATTCAGTTAGACTAACTGAATAAATGGACTACACTTGCACTACGATTACGCCACATACGCTTTATATTTACTAAGTTTAGTGTTTGTGTTTTAATAATTAAATGAAATTAATCACATCCAAATAATAATTTTACAGATAGTGTTAATCAAGCAAATGGCTGATAGATGTCACTCTAATTATAAGCAATCATTGTAGAAGAAATCGTTTACTATGGATATACTGAAACAGAAAACCACTTTGAGGCAATTTCTGAATATTAATTGTTTTTCATGCACAATGAGGCTTTCTGAATACCTTAGGACAAATTTAATTCGTAAAGTATTTGTTTCTCTAGACCACGTATGATAATTAGAAATATTCAAATTGATGTACTAACTAAAAATTCCCACAATAGTGCAATTTACGGCAAGTAGAACGAGATGAGAGCGAATGAGCGCATTATATTCGGAATCCATATTCGGCGAGAAATCAAGTACAAATGAATCACTTGTTTGTTTGAATATAACAACATGATAAGGGTTTTCTATTATCGCTCAAAAGTACTTTAAAACCGGATATTTACTAAAAGCCCCTGTAGAAAAATATTGAAGTTTAACAGATGGTTTTAAAAACTATACACATTTGTATTTCATAAACTCATGATACATGTTAGTCATGTCTATTATTCTTATTTCCTCATTTTTCCTGTATAATGTACATGAAATATCCTGTTAATCATCATCCTTTTTGTCATTAACCTATATTACTATAAAATAATCAAATTGCTAGTATTCGACATAACTGTACTATTCAATATATTTGAAAATGTTCTGTTACCGATTCGAGCTCAAAAGAAGTCTAGTCAAACCCATTATACTATTGTGTAAAGAGTATTTTTTTAACTGGAAGTGTATAACTGTTTAAAAGGGCTGATAAAGTTACCGAATCAATGATAACAACTATTAGCTGATTACTTCCACTACGAATTGAAGCTTAGTCCGATAGAAAGAGATTAAACCTTCTGTCCAACTCAGACATATCGGAAAACGAATCCAAACATTTTCAAGAAAATTACCAAGAATTCAAATCAGTCAACTATATAAAAGCTACAACTATGACAAGGGAGCCTAATAAACAAATAAATTTCGGGAAAGAAACTCCAGTCAACAAAATACATTCGATTCCGTTAAGCTACTGAATGTTCAGTAGATTTCAACACTAGGAATGAGAAGACAAAGAAAATGTTGCTTCGAAATTGTTAATAAGAAATTACATTCATAGTTCAGTCACATTTACATTAAAAAGAAAAATTCGTGGTAATTCTTTCATTACTTAAAACAAAACTGCGAGAACTCTTGAAGACATCCTTGAATTCATCCTGTAATGAATAACATAAATCAGAAACTAAAAATCTGAACAGTAAAAGTAATTTAGTGAATGGAAAGAAGTATCTTAATCGCAAAATAAAAAAAAATACTGACATATACAAGAAAGGAAGGTCAGTGAATTCCAAATCAGTGATATGATGGTAATGTTCTCATTGTAAGACATGAAAACCCTACATTTGATCTCCGTCCAGTTCATTGATGCTCCTCATCACATATTCTCAAACAACAACAAAAAATCTATCATTTACTCTCTGATTTTCAGTTAGTTTCTATCTGACTCCACGTCATTGCAAAACGTTTCATTAAAAGTACTTCGACCATATATGTATATATATAATTCCTTCTACAGGTATCAATAAAAGTCAAACCAGTACGGAAATGAAAACAATCCATTAAGGTATTATTATAGTGATATTCCACCAATGAATAGGAACATTCAATAAATAATTATCAACTAAAAACGTATTGGATGACAAATAAAATAAAAACTAACAGAGAATCAAAATTCATACCATCCTATCACACGTATTTACAGAATATTATTTTCCTTTCCTTTGAACTAACAAAATAACCTTTATACTCATCTTTAATAAAACAAGAGAAAACAATCAATTGAGTAATTTGTTCTCTTTAAAAATCAAAATCAATGTGTGATTACCAAAGTGGATTTGTTTATCAATATGAAAATACTACTGATATTACTACTCAAATGGATGTTGTCATCATTCTATTTTCATGTTGCATAATCTTTATGAATCCGTTTACATTGTTCTTGGTTTTTCAAATCTATTTATCATCTTCATTAGTAAGTTTTCTAATTATGATTCAAATAACATTTGATACACTTGTTTGTGTATCACAAATCGGGAATAAATTTTGCCCATTTCTTCGAATTACACCACAAATGTGGATCAATATTTTAATTTGCCACATATGGACAAATGAATTTTTAAATAATCTATTTAATACATTCACTAAACAATCCATTCTTGCTATCATCATTGAACATTGTTTATCCATTTATAAGCCGAATGTAAATTTGTTAAATTATCCTAAATTATTAGGTGGAATATATTGTTTCTCAGTAGCATATAACATAGTCACTAATTTATATTTAATACTGTTAGTGAAAATAGATCAAATTGGTCATTGTGTAATCAATTCTAATATGTTAATCAGTAGCATTGATCGATTAGATTTGGTTATTTTCGGTTATGTTTCATTGATACTTGGTGACATTATCCCATTCATAGTGATGATCATCATATTAATATTAGTAATATTACATCAATATAAAAGGAAAGTTAATGTAAGAGATCAAGCTCAAATTAAACCAGTACAAAAATACTTGACCTTATTGATAATTGTTTGGTGTTTACCAGAAATTCTAATTACATTACTTGATATGTTTCAGCATGTATGTGAAGCGTATATAGAATATGAAATGGTGTGTGATATATCCCATCATTGTTTAGAAATATTACGTTCAATTACATTTATGTTACATTCAATTAGTTTGTTTATATTTTTAAAACCAATGGGAATTGAAGCTTTGAAAACGTTTAAAAATATTTCGCAGGTTTTTAAAACAATCTTCCATCGAAATTAAGAATTTAGATTCTCATTCTCATTTCAATCACTGGAATAATTTCTTATTAAGTGTTCGTTCACTGTCTGTTTTTCAAACTCGTTCACCTACATTTGACTATGAAACATTGATTCAAGGGTTTGTTCTTCTTATCATTATTACAATTAGTACACTTGTCACCACATTGTTATGTTTATCCATATAATCCATTTCATTGTTATCGTTAACTCATCAACTGCCTTGATTACATTGATATGTTTACGTATGCTTAATAATATCACTGTATATTAGAATGAAGCCTGTTAGGGATCCAACTCAATACAATACTGTTAGCTTATATGTGTTGATCTTAGTAATAACTATCTAATTTTGTGTACACATAATAATGTACTTAATAATTTGCATAATTTCAGTAGTATGAATATTGAAATAAAATTTCCTGTCTTATAATTATTTTGATTCACTATGTGTGCTAACAGTCTTGTGTGGTCTCATACTTTGAAAAAATTCTTGCAATCCATCATATATCCAGATGGTTCAAAACAGCAGTGCGACTTCTATTATGGTCAACTGATTTTCGTTATTTATCTTTTAGAGAAATGAGAGGCTATTAAACTAGAATTCGTGTATCAAATATGATATATGATAGCAATAACCGTTTGATTGAAACTTGTCTTCAATTTTTGCCAATTGGGATTAAAAAATGATGTCTGATACGAATTTATAGGTCGCTTTAATTTTCCATAGTTCGAATAAATTGACAAGCTCTTTTAATAAGAGAAAGAGAAATGAGCGAAGAAAATTTTCTTCTCGACAAAATCATGTACTTAAGCTTTACAATCGGATATATAGTTATATGGAAAATATATGTCTGTAGGTGGCTAGGAAAGATTGCATCAGAAATTGATTCGAGAACAAATAACAAGTTTGTCATAGCGAATAACAGAATCAATTTTCTGAGAAGTTGTATAGACAAACGTGAATATTACATTGATATTGTTAGAAATTCGTACGGAAGATGTGATCTTGAAATTAATGAAATGCTTAAAACAGACCCAGACGCAAGCTTTTTTCCTCAATCTTCAGAGAAATATGTTTTCAATTACTCAAGTATAACACTATCAACCATTCCGCTACAAGCCTTCTTCCTTGGTCCTATATTTTGTAGTACATCTGCTAACCTTAATAATCTCAACGCTAAAATCCCGTTTGAAAGCCTCATTCGTCAGACAAATCACACTATTCCAGTATCAAATAAAGATTATGAGCATTTCAAAACAACTCTTGTAGACTGTTGTAAATAAAACACCAACAATTAGTCGATTACTCACAAAAGAACATAAATCTCAATTATCTGACTATATCTCCAAAATATCTTCGATATTATCCGAAACCGTTCATAATGACACAACTTAATAAATCGGAACAGATGCTACTTAAAATCCTAATGAAGATAAAAAAGATGAGTTTATTATCTATTGTGACCTCTATAAACATCTCAAACCATCGGGTTCCGTTATATCAAGACTATATAGACTCGCAAACGTTCATGAGAATAATGTGCCTCCACGTTCTATTCTTGATGCGAACGACTGTCCTTATCACTTGATTGCTAAATGCTTGGTTAACATTTTACAATCTGTTAAAAGTCATATCAGTAAATACAACTCTCTTGATTCCTTTGAGTTTGTCAACACAATTAGAAATATCAACGTAATTGGTAAGAAAATATTCTCATTAGATGTCACTTCTCTTCTTATAAATGTTCCTCTCACAGAAACTATTTGTTTTTTGTGCGACTATATTGAAAACAATAATCGTGATATGTGTATCCCAAAACATTGTCTTAAAGAACTACTTCTACGATGTATGCTCAACGTGCAAGTTCATTTTATTGGTGTTTTCCAAAGAACCAAAGAACACATTATGCCGAGAAATAGAGACAGACATGAGAAGAATGAACAAGAACTGGTTAGAACGAGAAAAGAAGGCCCAAGACAAAGTGGGTTGGAGAATGCTGGTCGGCAGCCTATGCTCCATTGGGAGTAACAGGCGTAAGTAAGTAAGTAAGTAATATTGAAAACAATAATCTTGATAAGTGTATCTTAAAGAACTACTTCTACGGTGTACGCTCAACGTGCAATTTCGATTTAATGATATTTTCTATAGACAAACAGATGGAGTTGCAATGGGCTCGTCATTGCGTCCTCTCTTGGCTGATTGTTTCATGGCCAATCTAGAAATTCAGTACTTCAACCAATAATTGAGAGATTTTATTTATATAAGAGATATATGGATGATACTTTCATTATTTGTGAAGAAGATATGGACCATGAATGAAATCTTTAATATTTTCAATAATTTTCATCCATCAATTCAATTTACCTTCGAAGCATAGGGAAAACATGAATTTCATTTTCTTGATTTCCGTTTAAAAAGAACGGCTGATGGTTTTTGTACAGAGATCTATATGTAGAAAACATACCTGTAATGTACAATACACGAATTTCCATAGTTGGGTCACCACTCGTGTTCTTGTTCACTACAGTAATAGTAGTATTAGTATTATGACCAATATTACCATTTTATTTTCATTTCATTTCATCTCATCTCACTGATTTCGCATTTGAAGCTATCCATCGCTCTTCAATTATTTTTCACATTCACATCATTTTACTGGCACATGTTTCTGATATCACTGTATTTCATTGAACCCTTCTAATACCTGTAATTCTTGTGACGAAACCATTTTAATGATCTTACTTTAAACACATTATGATCTATTGTGAGCTTAATAATTATGCATACCTTATTTGGATGAACACAACATGTTATTGTAATTATTCACTGTATAGAATCTTTTATTATATATATATATATATAAACTGTTGATTCAATTGAGAAGAAAATGTCTTAGATAAAGTAATAAATAAAGTTAACAAATAACAGTATAAATTTTCGGAGGAAAATCAATCACTGAAAACAAATACCATCACGTAGCTAGTCTTTTAGTAGTTTAGAAATTATAAAACAATTGCTTGAATAAATCTTCAACGCATGACAAAAGTAATAACACCATAGAAGTAAAAATAAAAATGAAATTTAAATAAAAGATTTGTTTTTCAATATTGAGTTTTATTTAATTACTAAAATCTCCACTAAACGCCCTTCTGATAATAATCATATGCTTACTAATGAATGGCCCCATGAGGTATTTCCTGGAGTTCTAGTGACAAGCAGTGACCAGTGGAGTTCAACCAGGTCTGTTGTGAGATATTAAGTCACTGAAGACATTGGTGGACGATTGCTCAATTTCGTGGATCGGTTGGAGTTAGACATTAACACCGTTGGATGCCGGTTCAATGGTCTAGTGGTTAAGCACTCGCGCCCGAGTCTGATAGATCCTGGGTTCGAATCTCGCTCGCGTGCGGGATCGTGGATGCGCATTGCTGAGGAGTCCCACAATAGGAAGAAGTGGCCGTCCAGTGCATCCATGTTTTCTATAGTGGTCTAGCTTCAATTGACTCATGATTTCAGCTATAAAATTATTTATAAATGTAAAACTTATTGAGACTGTAGATTTTTTATAAAAGATTTAAAAAACTGTTCAATCTATTTTATTTCATTTTAAATTAGTTTATATTTTAATGTTTAAGAAAAATTTAATAAATTTAAACAAATTTATTGATATAAATAAAACAAATACTACAATACTCAGGTAAAAAATATTTAAAAAATGTAAATAGAAACAATTTCATTACAGTACCTACATTGCATAAGAGTCAAATCTTTTATGGCACGTAAATAATATTTTCATATAAAAAAGAATAATATCATGAAAAGAATCCAAGGTAAATTATGCATAGCAACTAAAAAGGATCATTGAATTTAACTAATTTTTATCATGGATTATTTTCTGTTTAATCAGAATAGCTTTTGCCAGGTTATTTTACTTCTCATTATATTAAGCTTTTAGTTATCTTGGACTAAAAAAATGCATACTTATTCTACAAGTAAATTTTTAATCTATCATTGTTTATTAACATACGAATAGAAGTCATAATTGTTCGGAGAATTCAAAGTTTAAATGTATCAAGTAGATATAGTGGAACAAAAAGTTAACGATAAGATATTAATTAACGCAAAACATTTAAATTGACATGCTTTAAACGATATACTTTGCCTTTAACCTGGGCACTTTATTCGGATTATTAATTCGGATTATATTAATGTAGAACCTGAAGAGAACTTATCGATAAGAATATTCTTCGTTCAATATATTAGTCTTTTAAATATGATGGGGATCTTTAAACGATTATAATGTACGTAACACTTTATACTGAATTAATTATTAATTATTTTACAATTTTCATAGTTGAGATCATGAGTCAATTGAAGCTAGACCACTATAGAAAACATGGATGCACTGGACGGCCACTTCTTCCTATTGTGGGACTCCTCAGCAATGCGCATCCACGATCCCGCACGCGAGCGAGATTCGAACCCAGGATCTATCAGACTCGGGCGCGAGTGCTTAACCACTAGACCATTGAACCGGCATCCAACGGTGTTAATGTCTAACTCCAACCGATCCACGAAATTGAGCAATCGTCCACCAATGTCTTCAGTGACTTAATATCTCACAACAGACCTGGTTGAACTCCACTGGTCACTGCTTGTCACTAGAACTCCAGGAAATACCTCATGGAGCCAGTCACTAGTGAGCATATGTTGATTATTATCAGAAGGAGTTTTTGTGGAGATTTCAGTCTTTCCATAGTTGAGATCATGAGTCAATTGAAAAGACTAAAATCTCCACAAAAACTCCTTTTGATAATATTTTAAACTTAAAATTTTTGTCTAACTTGTTTTCATAGTCTAATTAAGATAAAGGTGATTAAACATTTTGTGAGATATCTATCATTTACAATCAAAATAACTTTTTTGAATAGATCTCTTGGTTTATGACATAGTAATAGATTATCTGTAAAAGGTAGTGAATACCTTCCAGTTGGATTAAATCTCTAAACTCTTACATGTTGTAGAGAAATCTTTAACATAAATATGTTCACTTTTGTATTTTGGAGTAGATACCATTATTTTTAAGTTAATTAACTTTAAATATACGATTAAAATTATAAATTGAACAAATGAACTTATACCTGGTTAGTTTCATTGAATATCTGTGCGAATAATCATAAGAAAGTAAACTTTTTATTTTAGTTCAAAACCATAATAGATATAGTAAGCAGAGATGGATAGTGGCTAGCAGTGGAATCCAGGACGCGCGTTTCGTCCTATTTGGGACTCGTCAGCTGGATGTACCTGCATCTCAGAGTTGATGTTCACTCTGGGACTCGAACCCAGTACCCTCGCTTCAAACGCCATCGCGTTATCCACTCGGCCACTGAGTCCTGATAGCCACTTGCTTGTGAATTAAGGTATATCGAGGCAATACGCACAGTATGCACATATGCCAATTAGAGACTGACCAGTTGCAGTCCTAAACACATCGATGGGAAGATCCAAACAAACAATACTAAGTGAATTCATAATAGATATAGTTAATCCACTTAATCATTCTGTTAGTCTAAT